AGAGAGAGAGAGAGAGAGAGAGAGAGAGAGAGAGAGAGAGAGAGAGAGACTTCAGCTGTATATATGGAAAATGGAGGAAGATCATGATATTTTCAGTGTGTGTTGAGATGACAATAGTGTGGGACCTTTATTATCGTCATTACAGCAGCACAACAGCCATTAACTAACTGCTGAAGGCAAAGCCAATAACAATAAGGTTAGAGTAAACGCTGATAATCAGTCACATCAGCTTGTCCAACCTGCATCTGTAATGTGTGTGTGTATGTGTGTATTAGTGTTTATATGTACAGGATTCCTCAGGCATTTTCTGTTTTCCAGAGAAAACTTAAACAGACGTGTGTATGAGAAGGCAGTTGAATCGTTGAGGGTGCCAAAGACCAAATCATCTTTCAGGTATTTAGAGAGAAGAATGTTTCTGGATGAGAGCTCAAGGAGAAAAATGAACGGGGAAAGGTCACTGATCATTTCAAATGCTTTAGAATTAGAAAAAATTACTTCCAGAGGGTAAATAATGTGGGACAGAGCCAAAAAACATGCACCAAAGAAGCTGTGGCCTGCTTTCATCAGTCGTATACAGGATCGATGCCAGGTTTAATTTTAGACAGCATGACCTTGGTCTAGTATTGAGGCGGACACAGATAGAGAAACAATGAATTCTGTCAAAAACTTCATTCCAACACCTTTGTTGTGAGGACCGATCTCCACTATATTGTTGTGTATTGTATGTTTTTACCACTTTCCATTTATTTGCTTTTCGCCAAGATTATATTTAGGGGACTGATATTTGTGCATGTGTGAAATTTGGTGCAGATCAAAATAAATGTGTTTTCTTAAGTGGAGTGTTGGGCCTTTGAGTATGCAGCATTCGACAATAGTAAAGATTTTGGACGAAGTATCTTGAATTATTCTCTCCTAATCTGAAAATATCGAAAAAAGGGTTCATTTTGAGGAGCTTGCAAACATCAGGACATTTATCTGCTTCATGCACTTCATCATCTTTTTTTCTGTTTTGAAGTTACTGGTTCCTACGACATGGACATATTGACGCTTTGAAGTAAGCAGCCTTTCTTGGTGATGAATGACCTCTTCATTGGACCGTAGACTGTGAGCGTATTGATTTAAAACACATGACTTATGCACTGAAATGATGTGTGAAGGTGAAATAGAGAAAACACTGACTTTGAATGTGCATCTTTCCAAACACGTCTTCTGTGTTGCAGCAGCAGCAGCAGAGTTTGTCTTTGTTTATGTGCATCAGGCAGGGGTGGGGGTGGGCTGAGCGGGAGCTTAATGCTTTGTGTCTCATTAGCTGTGATTTGTGATTAGAGTGTGGGAAGCTCTCGTCTAAATAGCTGGCTATCATATCACAGGGGGGTGGGGAGTCTAATCGTGTTTAATCCTCTGGACAAGCTGCGACATGACCTGCACACAGGAGGACAATCGCTGCCCGCCCACCCGGCTGAACGTCCGATCAATCATTATCTTAATAAGGGATCGTTCATTTTCATCAACACCAGAGCATTTGTTTTCTATGGAGTGAAGGCAGAGGATTTCTTTACAGGAGGGAAACAACATTTGCAAACTCAGCACAAAGAGAGGCTACACACTTCCCACAAGCCTCCTCCTCCTCTTTCCTACTGTTTGCCAAAGCTTTTCCCAGTCACTCCATCATACGGTGGGAAGACATAAATCACAAGTGAAAGCAGCCGGAGCACAGGAGGGCAGCGGATTATGGCTTCAAGTGCTCAGAGGAGAGTGATGTGGAGTAGTTAGGGGTTAAACACAAATAAACAAAAAAAGGGACTTGTTAAGCCTCTTTTATGTCTATTCATGTATGTTTTTTGAAGATAAGAAAATAACCCATCTTCCTCTTATCACTAAAAGTTGAAAGGTTTTTTAGAGTGAAGCAAATCGCACCCTTATCTAACAGGACTACTTCTACTTCTTATCCCCTTAAAAAGTGAAAAGGGATCAAAATGTCCTTCTGAAACTCACATGTTCTCAAAAAGAAAAAAAAAACATACAAAAGGAAGAAGCATAAACACAATTCAAGGCCAAAATCCAGAGTTTGAAGGATGCACTTCATGGACGCAGAGATGCAACACAGAGGGGGAAAAAAACGAATCAAAGAGGGATGAAGACATGTTAGAGGGAGGAATATTTACTGGAGTGCAATCAAACAGTGGTATTGAAGGTATTAATACTTACAGTACAGTCCCAGGGCTTGGCAAGCAGAGAGGAGAGAGAAAAACCACAGTGAATACGAGAGTGAGAGCGAGTGTGGGAGGTGCACACAGGGAGAGACAGTGGTCGGAAACATCGTGACAGAAGAGAAGAAGGAGGGAAGACCGGTGGAGTTTCAACTTAATCTGTATGTTCATGGGAAACCAGAGAGGACTATGACTCATCATGTCGACACAAGAACATCTGTTTAAAATCACAGGGAGAGAGACGCAAAAGGAAAAGAATAAAAAAGGGACTGGTAGAGAGAGTAGAGGAAAAAAGAAACAATGACACAGAGAGGGCGCTTACTGAGGATCAAAGATTTTTGGCTTCACTCAGAAACACATGCAAAATGGGACAAGTAGTAGTAGTTGTTGTTTTGATTTTCCAGTTGTCTAGTTAGGGGTGGCTGTGGCTCAGGAGATAGAGTGGCTCGTCCGTTAATTAAAAAATAATAATAATCCGATTAATCACTAATGGAAATAGTAGCCAAGAATAAGAAGTGGCTGAAGACAAACCCCATGAGAAACATAACACATGGCCACAAAATGAGAATTAAACATATACTGGATTATAAAATGCATTATAATTATTTGTCAGATTTGATCCTAAATATCAACCTAAAGGCATCTTCTCCTAAAAGCTGTCAGAAATGGTGAAAAAGAGCTAAGACTGGCAAAACTGAGCTGTCATTGGCAGCCATGTTGCTCATACTCCCCAGTGTGGACAGGAGAGAGGTGATAGGGATGTTTCTGAGCTTCCTCTGGTCTGTTATTGTAATTACAGGTGGGAGTTTGAAGAGGCTGTTCTATCTTCTACTGTTTAATGTGCATAGAGGCCAGAGCACTGAGGGGAACTTGGGAGCTTGATATAATGCTGGGTGATTAATGAGGCCCAGTTGGTGTGTGTGATTATGTTCTCTGAAAAAATAAAAATAAATAAAAAACAGCCACCTGTGATGTATAGGTTTGCAAACAAAGCAAGTGTGTGTGTGCATGCGTTGCTCCATGAAAAATAGGTGGGGGAATAAATCAGGACCATATTCACTCGCTCTCTTTCACCTTTCCAATTCTGCTCTCTTGTTCTCCCCTCAATCTGTCTTTCAGTCCCATTAAAACACGCACGCACGTGCACACGCACGCGCACACACACACACACACACACACACCTCTTGACAGGAAAGGGATGAATGAGTCCTTTAGTCCAGGAGGTTAATTCTTCTCTGACGGACACAATTCTGCAACAGCTCTGTGCCACTTCAAAAAGAAAGACCCCAGGGTGTGTGTTTGAGTGTGTGATTGTGTTAAAGAGAGTGCCCACCTATGCTGTAGACTTCTCACTGCTTGCTGTGAGTCAGTGACTGTGTGTTGCCTTTGTCAGCAGAAGTCGTTTTGAGGAGTTTGATTAAAGAGCAGAGACGTGGAGTTTATGTTTGAGACAACCAAGTGCATACAAACACTACACTTCTCACATGGCTGCTTTATGTGATTATGCTAAAGGCTGACAGTTTTTCTGTGCACAGAGAACACAGGAGTCCTTGGATTTCATCGCTCAGCGAGGTTGAGGAAAGACCAGCATCAGGAGAGAAGTGCTCAAGGCCCTGATGGCCATGAACGACTGTCAATGGGTATGAAAGTTTTGGTGCTTGTACACCCAAAGAGCTTTCAGCTGTTTAAGACACGAAAAAAATATGATTTCATGTCTTTAGTGTAGTACTTTAGTTTATCTGAGTTTGTTGGTTAATTTTTTGACCACATTATCTTGAGGAAAAACTACAAACTATCAAATGCATAAATAACAACAATGCAAATATAGAAAATGCTAATAAGACAGATGCTTGTTATTATAATGTGATATTATCAGTTTAGCATCTCCCTCGTACTAATCAGCATGTCAGATATGGAAGAAATGTATGAAACATCCCCTTCGGCAAGATAGGTTATTTTTGTCAATTTTTGAAACCTCTGAAGACAGATAAAAACAACAAGAGAAGAAGAAGAAAGACGATCCTCATCATCCTCGGGGAGTCAACATGTTCTTGTTACCTGCAGGGTTGGAGAAGTCGAGGACGCTGGTGGCCGGCTGCAGCAGGTCGGGGCTGCTGGATGACAGGTTGCCAGGGATGGGCATGATGGCCACACTGTGACGACACTGCTTGGTACCCACAATGCTGTCGTCTTGGGACTGACCCATGCCTCCATCACTGGAGGAGATGAAGGAAGGGAAGGAGAAGGTTGGAGTGGGGGGGAAGGGTGGAATGAGAGGATTTCTTCATCAGACAAACTTCATGTTCTTAAATAAACTTTTAAGCTTTTGTTTTGCAGCAGTAGACATTCGGACAAAAAAGGCTGAAAATATATTTGTCCTTCTTGTTTTGAGTTTTAAGTGCAGTTATAGAATGAGCTTATTTTCCGTTCATCTTGAGAACATATTGAAATCACAACTCATAACCCCAGAAGAATGAAATATCAGGAGATTTAATCAAAATGTCTACTCTTGCAGAATAGCAACACCATATTTTAATATCACTATATTGGTCTTTTAATATGCAGCGGTGACACAGCTGAAATTCATCCATGAGGTGCTTTCATGAATGGCAGGAACTGATAAGGAGCATTCGCAGGTAGAGACGCACAAGTCACGCAAAGACACACACACACACGACACAATGAGACTGTATACACAAGCAAACAGACACAACAGTGGAGCACATATGAAAAGAAACAGAAAGTCCTGAGTGTTTCATTCAGATGTTTTCCTATGACTTGTTTCTATTTGTAACATCTGTTTGTTAGCTCTTGTTCTTTAGTGTGTGTGTGTGTGTGTGTGTGTGTGTGTGTGTGTGTGTGTGTGTGTGTGTGTGTCCAGCTGTTGGCCATATTAAAAGGCTAAACTGGGCTTGAGAGACAGGCGCCTTTCTACCTGGCTCCTCGGCCGCACTCGGGGGAAATGCAAACATCAACCTTTATATTAATGGCCTCATTAGAATGACTGAATCTGCAAACATGTGGTGGAAATGGCAACTCTTCTGAGACAAACCCACAGAGTGATTCTGAATAGCCCTGCATCAAATGATAAATGTGAGTGTCTAAAGGTTAGATAACACATTCTTACACAACTGTGGCAACTTTCAATTATTTTAAACTAAAATCCTGAGAAGCTTTAACAGCATCTAGAATTGGCTTTTATTATTTTGAAATGGGTGAAAAGAACAAAAGAAGGAAGGAAATAAAACAATATGATCAGAAAGTTTATAACATCCCACCTATTTGTGTGCGTCTGTACCATAGATTGTAAATAAAGATGGATGACACATCTCCAATTTCTCTACTACTACTACTAGTTCTATCCAGTAACAAAGCCAAAATATCCCTGATAAGAACGCTGCCATCTTGCAAATTTGGAACCAAAGTCTGCGCAGCAGCATTTGGGGGATAAAGTTGCGACCGATACACAACCTCGACCAATCACGAGGAAGTCTCAGCTGTCAATCATGACGTTTTACCCCATTAGTAGAATCAAATAACTAATAAATACTTACCGGAAAAATGAACACATGAACATACATCAGTGTGATAACAACTATAACTTAAATGACAGAAACTATCTATGGGAATCATTTTGTCAATGTGTATTCTGACTTATTAGCTTGGTCCATGTCTCATCCACTAACATGGAGGAGATGATTTATGACCTGGACTGCAGGCAGCCACCAGGCGGAGATCGAGAATATTTGGCTTCACTTTTAGCGAGCTGTCATGTCGTCCATCTTTAAGCACAGTCTATGGTCTGTACTGAAGTGGGTGCAGTAATGCAGGGCTGTGTGTTCCTTTAGCAAACCCCATTTAATTTTTTATTCACCAGATGAGAGGTACTGTGCTAAAAAAGGAAGAAAGAGAGGAGGGAAAACAGTGGAAATAAACTATGATGTGTCGCATTGGAAAAGCACTAAAGCAAAGCCCTTAAGTCTTGAAGCCTGCAGGTATTCACCTGGTATTTTTTGCAACATCCCTGCAGAATACTTTAGGCTAAGCAACTCATCATCTCAGGCTCAGAAAAATGAAGTTTGAATGTGAAACCTAAGTTTAAATCTACAGATTCAGCCGTCTATCATGTTGCAGAAGGCCAACGGTGCTTGTTTAGTGCTATACTGCATGTGTGTGAGTTCCCTGCTGTGTTGTGCACGTCTGCAGATGGATACTGAACCAAACGGTCGGAGGATGGGGGGGGGTTACACAAGATATCTTACCCAAACAGGCCCCTGAAGCAGCAGAGACAAAAAATGGGAGAAAGACAACATTGAAAAGAAAAAGAAAACAAAAGAAAAAAGCAGAAGTGTAGAGCTCTGCTGAAGATCGCTCGTGTGTGAGAGACAAGGCCTCTTATCACAACACAAACACACACATGATGGATTGACAGAAAATACAACAGGCAAAGTTTAGACACACTGACAAGATTGCTGAAATAAACTTTCACAATGCCAGCTGAGATTTATATATATACAGCACATGACAGGAAACTGCAGGATGAGTGGGACAATTGGAATTTCCTGTCCAGAACCCATTCACAAAAAATGCACAATGATGTGTCAACAAGAAGCAGGAAGCAAATAGGATTATTCACAGCCACTATAGAAAATCTCATAGACTTTATGTTTATTGATAAATGAAAGGTAGGTTTTCAAAAGCCACAAAAATGCTACACTGAAATGTCTTCTTTTTATTAGTAGTCTAATCATAACAAAGAAAATAGCATCTAAGAAGCTCAAATACAATGTTTTAAAGCTTTTTTGCTTGATAAACACCTGAAAAGTACTTCTTTCTGTCAATAAACTGATTTATTAATGGGGTATGCATTCAAAAGGCCGACCCCCCAAAAAACACCTGATGTTTTCATTTTCCTCATAACAATAGAGGCAGTGGTGCCTCTCTCCAGGAGGTCCACGGTTGTGACAGTTTTTAGTGACAGATGTATCGAAAACTGGAGATCCAATGTAAAAATGAAATCAACTTCAGGACAGTGCTGTCTTCAGCTACACGTCTTGTCTCCTCTTGAATGATTCTCTCAAAGTGCTACAACAAAACGTACCTACAAAAATAAAAAGAGCTGCTATAGTCTTTTCTACTTTTGCCTTTAAGTCAATACTTGTAACAGAGAAATAATTTCCTGAGTAAGGTTTTTTGCAGGTGGAGCAGCAGCGCAGCAGTGAGAGAGAAACGTAAAACATCTTGTAGGGTGAACAGAATAGTTACTGGGACATGGATCGATGTTTACAGCATGTAACTGTGTCACAATGAAGTACAGAGAATGAAAATGGCATCGTGGGACGTGAGGTCACTGTTTTATCATCATCACAGAGACTTCTGAGACACAGTGACTTCAGGCTGAGCCCCTCTGTCTATTTCTTTGTAATCTTTGGAATGTAAATCAGCTGAGTTAGTCGTTAAGGGATGTGTGTGTAATTGTGGATACACGGGCCTGGACAGCTTAATTTGGCAGAAAAACGACTTGTTCATTTCCAGTGTGTCCTTGTCATATAAAATCCCAGTCTGAAGTGGAGCACAATGTCAGCCAAGAACAGAGAAAAGCAGCAGCAGCAGAGAGAGTGGCTCCTTGCAAGTATGGAAGCTGGGAAATGGAATCCGAATAGGATTTTAAATGAAACGATAAGTTCTACCTCTCCCAAGGAGGCCATGTTTTCACCCCTGTCCTTTTGTTTGTTTGTTTGTCAGCAGGGTTTACCAAAAACTACTGAAGGGATCTGCAGGAAACTTGGTGGAAGGATGGGACATAGGACAAGAAAGACATTGGATTTCTTGACATTGTAAGATAGAGAATATGTCATGAATCTGGCAAATTTAGGGGACTGAAATCTATGTGTGTGTGCACCTTGGTGCGGCTTGATTGAATTTAAGGAGACTGTTGGTGGCGTGTGCTCTACAGAGTGCCATTCTAGCACAAAGATAAAATATAATTGGCCTTATTTGTAATTAGCCAGGTGATGATCTGGACAGATGTGTGTTAATGTGTTCTTACATGAACATTGTTGAAAGCACGTCATTAGATTAATGGAGAACAACTCAACCAGTAAAATAAAAGTGCACCTTCGATTAGAAATTTGGTCAGCAGAGTCATTTTTGTCCAAAAGGTAATGATCCTGCCAGATAATGCCAGATTCACAAAGAGAGCAAAACCATTGAACATGTTGTAAGTGACAGACTATATTATAGTAATGATGGTCACAGGTTGCATCTTTGTGACAGCCTTGTTTTCTGTGTGTGTGTGTGTGTGTTTCACATGCTTTAAAACTGCATGATATCTTAAATTACACTATCCTGAGAACAGCCTGTGCCGCACACACACATCCAGTGGACAATTTTCCAACAATGCCTCCCCTCAAATTTCCCTCCCACAACAGGCACTGATGAATCCCAATTGACCCACATCACCCATCTCATCTCCAGCCTCTTTAATCAGCCATCGGTTCCTTTGAATCGCAGAGTGGTTTCACTGGTGCCAACTTGCAAAAATAAAAAGCAATGAAAGCCCTTGTTTGGTCGATAAATAGAAGGCAGCCGAGAGCTTTTGGAAGCGGTGCACTGAGCCGGATCAATGACCCTGTGATAGCGTAGTGCATTATGAGACGGTGCACAATCAGTTTCCATGCAAACTGTGTGGCATTGTGGACGTAATCACTGCAGCGCTGGAAAGCTGAGACGGTAGAAAAGTAAAGGGACGTGGATTTGTACCAAAGTGTCATTTTGCAAGTGTGTGTGAGTGTGAGCTAATAGTGTGTGAGTTAGTCCTGCAATTGACAGGGAGAGAACAGCATCTTCTCTCTCCAGCGCTGACACAGTATGGAGTTTAATGAGGCCTGGAGAGGCATGAAATGATGAAATGAAATCAAGTCTGTATCCGCACATTCCGGGTGGAATATTAAATGTGAGCTGCCACCTGCACAATTGCTTTCCATCGCTCCAGATGCTGCAAGCACAATGGCTAGTTACGGATGACAACAACATCGGTGGTTATATGATGATTATGACTGAATGATGATGACGACGCTGCCTTTAACATTTTTATTATATGGATGAAAACTAACTGACAGACGATTGAAAGAGTGAAAGAAGTGCACTGGATTGGTAGATAACCATTTGTTAGAAAGTGTAAGAATAAATGTCATATTTTCAGACATACTCTGGTGCAACAACATCTTGAAATGGGATGGACCTGCAGACCTGTTAGTACCCAACACACCAGCACTGGATGTGCTTACAGATCCTCAGGCAGAGTTCTTTTATCTGTTCCTGAAACATGCTGAAAACTAAAGGGGACAGGACATCTTTAAGTCTCTTCTTAAGACATACTTCAGAAAGTATTTCCTAATTTTCATTCTTTTCTCTTTTAGAATATTATTTCTATTCATGTTTTTTTTATCGGTTTTGCGCTTTTGCTTTCATTTATTCACAAAATCGTTTCCATCTATAAATCGAATGATATCAAATACTACTGGTCTTTTTCTCCTGCTGTTATGCTGCCTTGAGAAGCACTATGTAACACTTGTGACAAGTGTTTCATAGATAAAGATTATTATCATCAAATGTTTTACTGTGTGCTACAGGTAAGGATAATAGAATAGGGTTAAATTGCTCAATTTTCTACTCCAGGCTGAAATGTGCTTCTCTGTAACATTGTGAGGTAAAATAAGCAGTTTGGTTTATCAGGAAAGCTAAAGGCTTAGATTTCTGCTCACACCTCTAATATTTCCCGCCTGCAGATGGTCACAGCTTGCTACAATACTGACACAGAGAGAGGAGAGATGATCCGGCCCGGCCAACTTCCTTTAAAGTGCTTTTTCGTGGAAGAGTTCACAGACTCAGGTATGAGGTAGAGATTGAATCCCCTTAAACTCAAATCTTTTAAAGCCTCCCTGTGAGAAGATCTCCCTTGTGAGATTCAACTTATGCCGGTTTGTGTTTGTTGCTGTGTGTTGGCTTCTCTTTTACTCTCTCTGATCACATATACACTAAGATAAAGTTTGAAACGGTGACTGAGACAAGGCCCATTAAGACGATATGTTCCCCACCAGTCACTTCCAGGCTATTTCCAAGCTGCTGCTCTGCACACAGCTATAATCCTGATTTTATAACCACAACATCGTCTGACATAATCACAATACACAACTGCAGTGCTGTGATTTCAGATACAATAAGATCCAACTGGCCAATGGGGAAACTCCCAAGCCCCAGCCAGCTGACGAATGGTGCATCGCAACTCTATCTTTCACACACAGACATTCTGGTAGAAAGTGATGGAACATGATCAGTCCAGTTAAACAATACATCATATTGGAATATTTGACTGTTGATTCATTTTATTTAAGGCTGCACGTAATGATGAGGCTGCAGTGTTTACATCAGTCCTCTTACCTGAAAGGTTTGGGTGGCAGGATGGTGAAGCGTGTCTTCTCCAGCATCTTCCTGATCTTGTTGCGTCCTCCTGACACCGTGTTGGCCTTCAGTTTCCTGGTGCTCTTGTGGTCCGTAGGGAACTCCATGTCTCCGGGGAGGTCAGGGATGGAGAAGCGGTTCCCTTTTTTCTCCTGGATCTTGGGAATATGAGGGACGCCATTCTTCTTCTCATGCACGATCCTACTGAGGAGCTCTTTGAAGACTAGATGGATGAATGAGGAGAAAGAGGAGGATTGACCATCAACTCAAATGATTAGATAGGAGGTATTTGTGCAACTCTGTGTGTGTGATTGAGAGCAAGTCACTCACCAAATATGTTGGTTTTAGCCGTGAGAGAGAGGTGGGTGTTGTTTCTCAGGATGTCAACGGCTTTGGAGAAGGAAATGTTCTCAAAGTTCTGACCATTGATCTCCATGATCTGAAACAAGGAAGATGTTGCAGATTTGAATTGTCTAAAATGTGTCTAAAAAATGTCTGTCACAGTGAGAGACACAGGTAGACATGGACCTGTGTTGGGATTTGTCTGGACTCTAGTTTGACTCTATGAATAACATTTTCCCCCGAAAAAGAAACTTTTAGATTATCCTCCAGTGACATCTAAAATACATCATTTACATTCTGCTTTGCTTTCATGACATTAGGTTTCTGCACTCAGCAAATCTGTAAGCAGCTAACTAAATGCAAAGAGTGAGAAATGTATATCCTGTCTTCTTAAATAACACAAAAAAATGAGGTATGCGACAGAGTGTGGGCTATTGGCCAGAATAATTTGACCACTTTCAATTCACATCACCTTTAGAAGAGATGAATTTGTAGTTTGCACTAATTAACATATAGAAAAAGAAGCAGTCAGCAGGAAAAATGCTGTTTCAGGTAATATAGATTGTTTTAAATCATGAATGGGAAAGCATAGGACCTGCATCAAAGAATCAAGAGTAGGAACATGAGTGAAGTTGTATACTGTGGCGATTAATTTGGTAGTTAGGTGCATATATTATGCTGTAATTGTTTCTCCTAGTTCCTCTGCATCTGACTTTATGGAGTGCACTAATGAGCTGAGCTCTTTCAATAAGCCTTTTAGTCCATTTAAATCCAGTTTGTTTCACTCCACTGTGACGTTTGTGATCTTTAAGTTGTTGTATTAGAAAATGAAGAAGGTCAACTATTAGGGCCTCCTTTTACTTTGAAGGAGCCCTTCTGGTTCCATTTCCTAAATACTGTCTCCAGTCTCTTAATTAAATCTCTTCTTACCCTAAAACTGGCCTATTCAGTATCTTACACTTCACCATGAAAATGCCATTATGCAGTCAAACAAGTGAGGTGTTTATTCTTTTGGACATTATAGCTTGCTGTGGGCGGATGTGAGTCTGGCTAACTTGCCACGAAAAAACAACAAGCCCTGAGATGAACACAAACACAATGAATGACTTGCTACAGTAGTGATGAAGCAAAACTCTCTGAGAGTGAAGTACAACTGACAACCACACTATACAATAACCAGCACTTTCAAGGGTTTCTCAGGTTGAAACATATGTGCTTTATACATTTTTTTCACCGTCAATGAAAAATACTTAAAAGAATAAAAGATTTTAAACTGGCTAATTGCAATAGTGTCATTTTTCTTCTTCTCATTCAAAGCAGCAGCATTGAATCAAATCATAAAGCACCAAACTGCTTTATGGCACATAATGTTGCATGACATCCTCTCACCTGATCTCCCCTTTTGAGTCCAGCCTCTGCAGCCTTGCTCCCTTCCTCCACTGACTCCACAAAGATGCCGAATCCTCTCTCGCTGCCGCCCTGCACGCTGAAGTAGAGCGGCGACTCCCTGGACGCCTTCTGCAGAGTGATCTGACGCCACTTAGCCTTGGCAGCGCACGCTATGTTCAGGAGCCGCAAATGGCCCTTCATTTTCTGATGAGAGGAAAATGGGAAAACGATGAGCATTAAGAGTCTTGCATTTAAATTGGCTTTTGTCTCCAAAGTTACGCAATGTGCTTGTAGATGTAAAACAACATCATGTGGTCAATGCATAAAGCTGATTTCAAAGCAGTTTGGTTTCGCATGAGAATATCAGCAAAATAATCGTTTGACCTGTTCTTAAGAGACATTTTGTGCCAGAGATTCTTGTTTTTTTCCAAATTAAAGAAGTTTTAATGAAATAATAACATTTTAACAGAAGTAGAGTTGTGAGGTTTTGTGAAAACAAAATATTTTTAGAGACATTCTAGGTGCAAAATAAACAATATAAGTTAGTGAAGAATATATTGTGAAGAAAGCTATGTAAAAATGTCAACATGAAAGATTTACTCTGTTGCAGCTCAAACGCATTTGAATAAAAACTAAGTAAAGATTGTTGTTTGAACTTACTGATACTTCTAGATTTTTCTCAAAGTCCTCCAGAAAGCGTGTCATTGCCGGGTCACCCTCAAAGTCATTGAAGTGGTTGTTGACCCACAGCAGCACTATTCTCGTAACCTGTTGAGACACAATGAGAGCTTCATTCAGCCGAGACACATGTTCACACAGTTCTGTAACAATTTATTTTCAATTTCCCGTTCTTCAAAAAGACCTTGGATTACTCGACTGTGACCTGCTCTGAGAAGAAATTCTTTGAGAGCCCTTACTGAGCGGTTTTATTGTAGATGTTGGGTCACAGGTGATTGTTAACAACATTCAGGCCCTCAGGAACTGGTAATTCTGTGTAGTGTTCAAGGACTACTTGTGCAGCAATGTGCATGTGTATATATACACACACACATATATACAGCGAGTGAAATAAGTATTGAACACATGAAGAAAGGGGGGTGCAAAAAGGCATGGAAAGCCAAGACAACAGCTGAAATCTATCAGTAATTAAAAAGCAATCCAGCCCCTTGACAGTGCAAATGAATATCAGCAGGTTCAGTCCCAACTGATACAAAAAGGTCTCATTGCCAAGGTGTCACACAGACATGGTGGGTAAAAGCAAAGAGCTGTCTCAAGACCTTCGCAACCTAATTGTTGCAAAACATAACGATGGCATTGGTTACAGGCGCATTTCTAGGTTTCTGAATGTTCCAGTGAGCACTGTTGGGCCACAATACGGAAGTGGTAAGACAATCATTTCACCATAAATTTGCCACGACCAGGTGCTCCTCGCAAGATTTCTGACAGAGGAGTGAAGAGAATAATCAGAAGAGTTAAAAGGTACTGTTGTCTCAAAGAAAACAGTAATGCACTCCACCGCCATGGCCTGCATGCACGCTCACCATGCAAGACTCCATTGCCAGCAAAAATCTGCTGCCATCTACCAGGATGATGAAGATGAAATGAGGGTGGACATTTCAGCAAGACAATGATCCCAAACACACAGCCAAGGAAACTCTATATCAATTGGTTTCAAAGAAAGAAAATAAAGCTGCTAGAATGGCCCAGTCAATCACCTGACTTAAATCCCATTGAAAATTTATGGAAAGAACTAAAGATCAAGGTTCATAGAAGATGCCCACGGAACCTTAAAGATTTGAAGACTGTTTGTGTGGAAGAATGGGCAAAATCACACCAGGGCAATGCATGCAACTAGTTTCTCCATACAGGAGGCATCTTGAAGCTGTCATTACCAACAAAGCCTTTTGTACAAAGTATTAAATAAATATCAGTAAGCGTTTAATACTTTTTCCAAGAAATATTTAAATCAAAGAACATTCAGAAACAATCATGTCTGCAAATTGACACCAGTGGCAACATTGTTCTGAGAATCACAAAAGGTCAAAGTGGCAACAGATACATCAACACAGAGAATCAATCAATGTCCTCTTTCTCTTCCCTCTTTGGTTTTTCATCCCTTCTCGTTCCATATTTGGTTACTTCCTCGCTGCTCGTTCTGTGTAGGATTAGATCCTGTTTAATGGAGCTGAAAATTATAAGCCTGAATGACAACCACATAAAGACTATTGATGGTACAAGACTAATCTTACGTTAAAGCGGTTATGGACAATGGGAGTGTCAGGCATGAACGAATCGTTGCCGTGCTCAAGGACAGCTGAGCTGGCTGAACTTGTATTGATCAGCATGTGAGCGGCACAACACATGAAAGTGCAAGAATATGTGTGTGGTTAGTCAGATAGAGACTGTTTCTTATGCATGCACATGACTGGTCAAGCGTTCAGTCTAGCATATTTATATAGTGGAGGTAGTGGAGATGCTCTGTCCATCTTTATATACAGCCTATGGTGCAGACACAAATCAAATTCTTTCACATATTGTACAACCATACCCTAACTTTCAAAGTCAGCTGACTGCACATGCCTGTTCTGTCTTTCTCTTCTTATGAGGACATCATTGCCCCTACCAAACCCAAAACCGGAAGATAAATCTCATCTAAATCATGTAACCATCAAACAGCGCTTCAGAGTAAGAGGACTAAGAAAATGTCCTCACAACAATGGTATGAAATTGAACTTGGCCCGAACAAGGACAGCAATACAAGCACACAAGCACACAAACACACTCACCGTGTCCCGGAGACTGTCCACCTGGAACCACTCCAGCAGTTTCTTGCCGACCTCCATGGGATTTGACAGAAAGGTCCTGTAGGTCAACAGGAAGTCTTCGATGTACGTGGGGTCAACCACCGACGGCTCCTCCACCAGGTGCATGATCAGACGCTCCGGGGTTCCCTAGGGTGAAAAAGAAACACACATATGGGCACACGGAGAAAAACATACACACTCATGCATTCACATGTTTGACAGCTAAAATGACACAAGGGCAAATGTAATCTATACATGCACGCACACACACACTGACACCAGCAGGCACAAGAACACAAGAACACACCAAATTGAATACATTGCGTCAACATTCATCAGAAAAGTGACAAGGATATAGAATATAAAGTGTCAGTCAGCCATCAATAAAGCAAAGATGCACACAGACACACACAGACACGCGCACACACACACACGCGCACACACACACACAGAATGCACAAATGCTTTTGTTGCAGATAATTTTTGCTGTGGATTAAAGACCGAACACCTGTAATATTAAGGACTGAATTCATGTTTACATAACAAAGTTTCTCCAAATCCTGTTTTTGTTAATGTCAACAGAGCAAAGGTTTCTGGGGGAAACACTTCATTTGACAGGGAACAGAAACCAGGGAGGCATCCACTTTTGTCTGACACAGACAAGAACAAAGTAAAAACAGAAGCGGAAACGCTACCACTTGTGAATTGACTCATCTCCACTGGATGCGTTTTTGGAGCCAGCAGCCTTCCTCGGAGTGGCAGCCAAGAGAATCATTCAGGCCCATTATCTGATCAATATGTGGCTTCCTCGGGAGGCTCGAGGAGAGGATCAAAAGGCCTTTGAGCGAGCTGCGATGTAGCGTACAAGAAAATGCTCTGGCAAACACTAATAGTGTGAACGGTGCCTTTCAATAATCAACTTAGAACACAGAACAGCTGCGTGGAGGTTTTTAGCAGGATTCTGTATGTGATTCATGACGATGGGTCAAACTACGGCCTTTCAGTGTATATAGAACACAATCCTGGAAAAAAGGTGAGAACTTACATTTTCAGGTTTACAAAGTAACACGAAGATTCCAGTGGGATTTAATATGCTTATTACTGGTCTCAAGCTTAACTTTAACCTTAACCTTCCTTGTATCTCTACTTGGTGAGGACACATTCCTGCACAAGGTTAAACCCCTGCTTACGTTTGAACTCATCCATCCTTTCGCCCCTTCACACTTCAGAGGAGCAAAATGCTTCCTCGAACACTAATCGATTCGCAGCTTCCTTGAAATCTCTCAACCACACTCTTGAAAACCACTGACCTTGATGACGATGTGTCCCTTCCTGGTGCCGCTGCGGTCCAGCTCGCGGTGCTCCTTCACCATCACGATCTCTCCCTCCTCCTCCACCTTGTGCATGTTCTTCTCCACATGGTTGAGGATGCGCCAGTAGTCCTCCTGAGCGATGCACACGAACTGGTCGAGGATGACATGGGGACAGCGTGTGAACTTGTAGTAGAGCACAATGCTGCTCCGAACCACAGTTGGGTACTCGGACAACAGCACAGAAAAGACATAAGGGTTTGTGGAGAGAGGCATGGGATGAAGCGATGGATGGAGGAAGGAAGGTCCACAGCACTGTTTCTCTCACTGACTTAACCAAATAAATAAGTATGGTCGTCCAAAATCCTCTCATCTACCCATTTTGCAGAAGCATCTTTTAACACAACTTCACCCTTAAGTTAAAACTAACTTCCTGTTCTGGCGAACTGAAGCGAAAGTGTCAAGAGATGATTCTCACTCTCCTGCAGCCCTGTCACTTGCTCTATCTCCCTCGACTAAATCATCACTTGCTGCATTTGCCTCGCTGAGCTCTGACTTCCTGTGTATCTGAAGACAGGAAATGATGCGTGCGTTGAGGGAACTGGGCAGTGTGGACAGAGAGACATCACAAGTAGTGCTCAGCTTTTTTTAACTTTATAAAGTCACGAGCTTGTCAGTTCTATATCAAGACTGGCCTCTGTGAATAACCAGCATAGACTTTTTGCAAACAAGATCTGAGAAACACAGTACTTCATGACAATGTACAATACGTTTGTCATGTTCTTAATGTATTGCAAAGGCAATGCAATTCCAATTTTCCTTTTCTACCTCATTTCCCTTCCTAAGGGAACATTGGTCCTTTGCATAACCTCCAGACTTTTATTTTGCCTCAGTTATTGTCACAGTAAGGATGCAAATGAACATCAGCTTCTTGTCGCAAGCCATTCAACAGTCATTGAGTACTTTTTTTGTCTTTATTTCTCATTCTTACCTGACAGTCGTCCCCCTTGGTGCGAACTTCTCCGTTCATGTGCTGTTTGTCCAGGGAGGGTGAGATCCCGAAACTGTTGCCCATACAAAGAGTCTCCACTCTTGCTTCTGGGTGGCTTATCTCAACCGCCCCATTCAGGATAACATACCAGAGGTCCAGCTGCAGGAGAGGTGCAAGGAGACGTCAAAAATAATCCAACATACAACGTTAAACATTTGAAGTCTGCAGAGATTATTAATGCTCTTCTTTGTATCTTGTAATTGCTCTCCTTAAAAACTCCTCTTGTATTAACAAGGTAGTTGTTAGTAGAAGTTAAAACACTAACACCAGATATTGGTGTAATTTGAAGCATCTGATGTTATTGAAGGAACTATTCAAGGATCAGACCTGTAGCTGCACAAGAATAATGACGTGTTTGACTGTGGCAGTGGAGACTGGAGAGGTATTGTGTCTCCAGCGACTGCTTTTGACAAGGAGATGCTGGCAGGCACAATATCATATAAACCATTCATCCATCCAGAGTGTGAGTGAATGGATGAATGAGCCAGGTCCACAACTATATACTTCCTCCCCATTGCATTTTCTCTATCAACGTTTCCGCAGAGAAGATCTAAAATTCCCTCATCGCTCCTCATTTCTCCTCTATTATTTTTTTTTCACATCAGCCTTTCACTCTCATTCTTTCACAACAGTAATGAAGTGGTAAGAGGTGAGATGAAGTAACCAACCATCAGTATTTGTACACAAAAGTGCTCTAGATGCTATTTTCATGAAGTCTGCATAACAGTAAAGTTTCTCATTGCATATAAACAATGATATTTCGTCATTAATATTTATGGAGGCCTGCAAAGGGAGGTAAAGTACTATTTGTCAACTTCACATTATATGGATAGAAAATACACTTGCTGGTTTCTCTTGTGGCCGTTTCTTCCATTTTCTCTTCCATTCTGTCCCCTGAAGCACTTTCCACTTCTGTTAGACCACTTTAGACTTTTATTTCCTATTCCCTACCTCACTCTCTTCTCTGAGCGGATTCATGTTCACTTATGAGAGGAGCCAAGCTCTTCACTTTGACCTTCAACTGGAGTCCACAGAGAAAAGATGGCGAGGAGGAGACCTGTCTGTCAACTGACTCGACACAGGCAGTAGTGAGGCACATACATGCATGGGTATGTGCACTGCCTATTCATGGTTGCCCTCTGTACGGATCTGTCTCACTGATGCCGATTTCTCATCCTCCTGAAGCTTTAGCGTCTGTCAGTTCATTGCCATTTATCACCCTGTCAGTTCTGTAACCAAAAAGCCATGACAGGGCGCCCGTCTCTCAAGCATGTAACTTAATTAATTAGCTGTGTAGCAGCTCGAGTGATTGACAGGGCTTTCACTCTGCAGCGACTTTGCATATGCCAGTATCTGTACCTGCAGTTTTGGATAGACTGGAAGACGGTGAGAATATGTGTGTGTGTGTAGAAATGGAAAAGAATATGTCAATGCATGCATTTGTGTGCATTTTTCCATTATACGAACATTTGCATTTTGCCTACTGCGAGTCACTGTGTGTGTATGTGTGTGTTTATTTTAAGAAGTTATTTTACTTTTTGCCAGGAAAGACAAGTTTAAGATGTTTTGACTGTGATTATATTAATTACCCAATTTAGAATCAGCGTCTTCCTGAATGAATAAAGATAATGACTAATATAACTATCAAATTAAATTCAGTGCCTTAATGATATATATAGTAGAAAAAACAATTTTCACATTTCACAATTACCCTGTTAGTGACAAATCTAAGTGGGATATGCAGGAAAAGAAACTGTGACATTAAAAACATTATAATCTCTCATTTCTGGATAAAATACACATTTTTAATAATTCCTAAACCCTTAAATTCATAGCATTACTTTCAAAACTCTCTCAGACCTTTTTTTCAGAACTTTTACAGTCACTTTTGTTGCTGTGTCATTAGCCCAATCATACCTCTTGTTTGTCGTGCAGTATGACCGTGCCGGCCTGCTCCACTACCTCAAACACCATGACGCTGCACAAGTCCCTCCGCACAGACATGGTCATGTTGGCGAAGGCGGGCAGCTGGTGCATGAACTCCAAGAGTTGCTCTGTTTGGTGCAAAAGGGGAGACAAGAAAGACAGTAAAAAAATATTGTTCTTGTGAAACAGGAACGATTGCTGGTAAAGACAAATATATACGTGTATATAGTATACACAATTTTTTTTCCACTGACAAATACATACAGCAGTAGCACTCCTGAAACAAACTATGGGTTTAAATGGTTTTGAAAGCAACCAATTCTCTCATAAGTCACCAGAGCAACTGTCAACACCAATTTATAAAAAGTAAATACAAAGGTTTTAGGCTTTGCTATTTGTGGCTTGTGATGCCTTGTAAAAGAAGTTATGTCTATGTGTGACCCCTGGTCAGTTTGCCAGAGTAACTGAGCAGGTAAAATAAAATGCAATCAAAACTGCGCTCAACATAACTCTAGTAAACTTTATTAATGAAGATTAATATACTGTGTTATTTAAAGATTTGTGAGTCCGGGTGTAACTTGGGTCCTCCCCTCTTAACTCCTCTCTTTCCTCTGAATGAGCCGTGAGTGGAACCAGCCAGTGGAGAAGGCCAGGCTCCCAACAGGCACACAGCAGGCCAGGCCTTTACAACTCCTCTCAGCTCTCTGATGTGGTCACCTTCTCCTCCTGAACCCCACTGGGTCCCGCTAATGAGGTCGTCTTTCTGATTGCCTGCTTAAAAATATACCTTGAAAGAGCGCCGGTGTTTAGACACCACGGTGAGGGGTCTTTTTGCGAGTGGTGCATTTGTGTATCTCCCCTGCGTGTGCTTACTGAATGATAGATGGTATCTGAGCGCTATCTCATGAACAAGGAGAATAATAATAGAAACCAAGAGTGCTTGTGTCTACCAAAGAAAAACGTGACAAACATGTAATCCCTAATTTTCCTTTCAGCTCAGTCAGTTTTAATCTAATATTAATTTGTTGTTTTATGAGCAAAAGTGGTGTTTAGCTTTTTCAAGCAAATGAAATCCTGCTTTACAGAATTCAATGTTTTAATTGGACACAAATACAATAATAGTCTTGATTATCAGCAGTGCAGTGTTAGACTGACCGATGTCGTCATCGTTGCGGTCCGCCGGGTCTTTTTCCAGACACTCCCGGACTAGATCTCGACCCAGGAGAGTGTCTGAAGCTCTCTCCAGGTCTTCATCCTCCTCCTCCTCTTCCTCGCTGTCCACAGCAGCCTCTGGAAGTCCAGACAGGTCCACATCTCCCAGCTCACTCTCTGTGGCCTAGAGCAAAGACAAAGTGGGAAGTAAGTAACAGTAGCAGGGCAGAGAGAAATAACCCTATGAGGAATAGTGACTGATGGGAATGAAAATACTTGGGGGGAAAAATAAAATCTTCTTTTCAAGTATTATCCATGAAAAACTGCATCTTATGGATTTTTTAATGGATTTAATGTTGGACTGGGTTTCATGTGCCTTAGGGCTTATTGACTCAAAAAGAACTATCTGCAGCAATAATGTGACCTAGAAACTAATACCGGAGTAGTGATATGTACCATGCATGACAAGATGGTACATAGTGTACCAGCCTGAACCATCGCTAGAGTAGCATGAAAAAGCAAGTTCACCATTTGCAATTATCTGCATGCACATTATGTGTAATTACAGCTGATAACAATTGAATATGTCATTACAATTTAAAATAAAATTTAAACTTAAAACCTGGGGTTGTGTCAATGAAACAAGTGTGAAGGTGTGAGTTAGAGCCACGTCTTCAGTTTGACAAATCACAGAAAGAATAACCTTGTGATGAGCAGCTGTATCTGTGACCCTGAGCTAACAGCCCAGAGACCAGGTCCCAAACCAGAGGTGAAAACAAGCAGATATCTACATCCAGCAGTAATAATTCAGATGCCACTAAGTTTCCCCCAGTACAGGACAGACAGATGGTTGGCAGTAGTGTGATTCTAAAAGGGCATAGGGGCTTTCAGGTCATTCGAGATTTGAACCATCAACCTAGAGGTGAAAAGAGGAGCTCTGCAGTGATGATGGCAGAACTGCAGGCCATCTGTTAGCTCAAGCAGATGTAGGCTGAGAAACAAAGAAAAAATACAGCAAATATACAGCAAAGCAAAGCCTTATTTTCTGTTGGTCTGTTTGCATTTATCTATTTACTGTATTGAACCCACTTTTGTTAGGAAGCGAGACAGAGAAGTCTGTGTTACTCTCACAAAAACTGTGAAACTAAGAATACAAGGAAGTTGTGAAGTTACACACTGTGATATATCCTCATTGATTATTTTCACAAAAAAGGACAAATTTGCTACACAATGCTGTTATATATATTTACACAGACATCATGAGTTGTTGCTAAGGGACAACTGGGTCATTCCATGTCAAATCATGACACAATTTTTCGTCACAGATTTTAATGAATATTTTCATGCTGATTTGGTCTCATGAGAAACTTATGGGCACAAACTGTCATGTATCTCAGATCTTAATAAAGAAAGATATAAAGAAAGATATGGACTGATCAACTTTTTTGGGGAACTCTGACTTTGACTAGTTATATTTCCTTTACTATAGGTCTCACAGAAATGTTTCTTATATAATATTAAAGCTCTTTTCCAACTCTGTATATACATAAACATCATGTTATCCCCAATATATAAAAAATAACATTATGAGTGATTATAACAGTTTAGTAAAGTTGAATTGCAAAAAAATCTAATTTTCACTGCAGTTCACTAAGACATTCAAAAAGTTTGGTTTAGATAAATTTTTAGCACAAAAGTGTGATGAATAGACTAGAAAGGTTTGATGTTTTGAATCTGAATGACTGTACTGGGCTTTGCTGAGAATAAAACCAGGATCTTTTCCACAAACACAGGGGCATTTATATATGTAGGTAGTAAATTAGTTTGGAGTTCATTTGATTTGGGATGTATTGCTTGTTATAGCTGACAGGAACAAGTTCATTTTCTACCTTACACACAACAAGATGAACTCCCCAACAAACAAGGCAATTGGGCTCTCAGCTTCTTTGTAGATTTGGTACCTGGCCAAAAGGTTTTATAGGCTTCTCTGAGGGAGAAGGGATTAAGCTAATGGTCCATTCCAAGTTCAGGTACAGGTCCATACAAAGGTTTTCATAAATTAGGCTGGAAAAGCAATTTAGCTGTCTTTTAAAACCACCAGCTGCTCAGCTCTGTCCTCTTCTACATCAGATATGTTTCATTTGGCCTGAGATGAGAAGAGACAAGCCAAGTCAAGTACAAAAATAATTCCCTGTCCATATTAAAATTTAAACTCTGATTTTATTTTCTGTGATAATGTCTTTTTTTTCCCTCATCACACCAATGTTAAACATAAGAAATTACACAAAAGAACCTGTAGAGATTTACGTTGTGGAGGAAGATGCTGATCTTTCCGGCCTAGAACTAAAAGCAGAAAGGAAAAGCGGCACCTAGAGGAATCACATGCAGGAATAAATACTCCATATTTATTAACTCGCCCACAAGACACTCAAACCATTTTTCATTTACCTCGCAAGTTGTTCTGCAGTGCAACACAAGGGCAAGATCTACATGAAAGTATTTCTGCTTCACCTCTTAGTTATCGATTCGTCATGGAAATGTATATCATGTATTCGCTGGGCCAACAGTGTGCAGAAGAAGGCAAAGGCCAAAAGTGCAGCAGTATTTTTTTATAGTTGCCAATTACAAGAGAGAAAATATCAGAGTGTCAGATAGAGGCTGTTAAGGAGGTTGTTGCATCCTTGCAGAAAAGTGGCCTTCAATTTAATACTTGTTGGAAAGAGGAGGCATGTGGAGGGTGTGGGAAAACAGCAGCAAAACTCACTGTCCTTCACCACGGAGATATTTTTCAGGGCCTGTGAAAACCCAGATCATTTAGAATGCAGGAGGTGCCCTTTCAGTTCAATTCCCCTGCTCTCTGAACAAGCTTGAGCCAAGAGGACACATCGTCAAGATCACGGACAGGAAAACAAAAGACGACAGAAGTGGAGGATAAAATAAAGGGGTGAAAAGAAAGGAAAGGAGCGGCGCAATGCGAGAAGGATAAAGAATAATAAAATAAGAGAGGGTGATTGACAGGAGAGGGAGGTAAAAGAGGGAAAGGGCAGAAAGGAGGAATATGAGAAGTGACAACAGGAGGAGGTAGAAAGGCCTGAAAGGTTCAGAAGACAGAATATAGCAAACAACTGTGGGTTAAGTCAAGGTGTGTGAGGGAACGAGTGGGAGAAGCCCACCACAAAAAAACAGTGTGACACATTGAAAAGTCAGGACCACAGTGACTGGAGGGTCAGAACTTTAAGACAGCTGTAAACAAACACAGAGCCGGGTCAGCGACGAGCTGATGGGATCAGAGCCATGCGATAAATATCTAATCTGAGGATGAAGAGATCAGGTCTCCGAGTTAAACGTCTGAACCCGGCCGAACTGACTCACACCAATCCGCAAACACTCGCAGAAAGACTGAGGCGGGAGGATGGGTTGTAGCAGACAAGAGAGAAGGTGATTAAAATATCGGATTTATGCTGTTTTAGCCCATTTTCTACTGAAAGCAAAGGTGAATTGACTAATACACTGCGTAATTAATCAGGCTCCTGCACTTTACTTTTGAGCGAACAAGTTTTTATTCCCAGTCCCTTATCTCATTTAACTTTAGGCTCTAAACAGAAGAATTGCTTTCCTTATTTACTACAGGACACTTTAGAGGCTTAACACAGGTAACACAGAAGAAAGTGGCATACTCTGTGTTTGTGCTCGTGCAACTTCCTGTTAAAGGGGTCAACATGTGGGTGGAGAGAATGGACATCTAGACAAATGGCTGCTGCAAATGATTTATCTCTGCCGACTGACCACTGCGGCAGAGGAAATTACACCTGGAATGTGATGTGTGGAGGAAGCAGGACGAAAATCTGTGGCACTGTTTTATCAGAAGCAGGAGGAGGAACAGGACTAAAGTCTGAACAGAGGGTGACGGCAAGTTTCAACAATACATTTAAAGTTGTTCCAACCTTGACTGAAATTTCAATTGTCTCTGACTACATTGAATAACTCTGTCTCAGCGCCTGACAATGACTTGCAGCAAATTCAGCAAATACCTCAAAATATCAGTATTTTTCTATATTCTCTGTTAATTTGTCCAGCTTTTCATTTTGTTGAAGGTTATTTTGGTAGATCAACTAAAATGAGAAACATAATCATCCAATCAATCTCTAAAAAACAATGCAATTTGATCGGCACAGTGGTGTGTGGGTAGTAATGAGAAAAGTGTACGTGTTTGGTTTTTTACACCCCCTCACTTTATTTTTTATACTAAACCTCCCAATTTCCAGGCATTAGCACTGTTATCAGCCTCACTAAAACAAATCTGCTCATTAGTTTTGTGGCCGGCAGTGCCCATTGATCACAGCACCTCATTAACTTGTAGCAAACTCATTAGTAGTTTGTAGCTAAAAGACCTCACAGGTTCCACTGATGAATGCTAACAATGCTAACAAGCTGGTTTTAAAAGGAAACCTCTCCCTGTGTGGAGGAGCACAAAACTGAAGTATTGCAATCAATCCTGAGATTTATAAAAGGTTTCTGCGTGAAGATCATACATTTGCAGATCTGAGGGATTAAAATCATGAGACGACAACAGTCATCTTCTACTTGATGGATTATTTATTTGCGGCGATTAAAATGTTATATAACAAAGAGAGGCATTTACTTCTGAAGCACAGAGAGTTTTTGAAGCTACAAAATATCACATAACTACAGGTGAGGCTGATACAAGAGTAGAGCAGCAGACCTCTATCAGTCATGGACTACTGGCTCAAGGACACTTTCAATCCTCTATATCCAGCGGCAGCCACAGAATAAGCTTCCTAGTTTGCCGACATTAAAAGCAAATGACAGTATGAAGACCAAGGGTTGGAGCATGAACAATAAGGAACTAGATTTGAAATAATAAATGACTTTATAATCAAATGATCAAGTTCATAGGACTACATGTTTTATTGTTTTATTTGACACTGTATCTGGGTCTGCAAGTAATGCCAAAATGTTATAGAAAAATGGGATGTATCATGATGTCATTATTTTTGTCTGTCATTAGCGGATTCCTGATATTCCTGTTTAGACTAACCAAAACATTGTTATATGACATTAACTAGATAACCGATGTGCACCTGATGTCATATTCTCTCAGTTAACCTATCATTTCTCGCTGCATAGAACACAAAGAACCAGACCAGAAAAACCCACAGAATGATCGTTTCAAACTCAGCTGCCCTGGTGATGTTACAGCTTCTATACCTGTAGCACAGGTATGGACAGACCCTGAAAGGTTAGGTTCATTTCCTGCATGTGACCTTTCTCTTGCAGCAGGAAGTTCAGAGGGAGACGCATCACGGGGATGCACGACCGATGCACAATAATTAGCTGGGAGGGAGGTGGGCTGACAGATGAGTGACAGTGAGACAGACGGAACTGGAGCAAGTCAAGCTGCAGGAGAATCAAACATCAGACTGACGTTTTTGTCAGGGACCAGATGTTGTCACAGTGTGGTGGTGGAAGGGTTACAGTAGACTGGGGTTTGTCATTGGATTGGACTGGCTTCCTTATTTTTCAGTATGTAGTGTCATAAGACTGACAAGTAGATTTACAACTTCATTTTCCAAAAGAAAAGTTATTTTTCACTGTAAAACACAAAAAAGTGATGACGCACGACACCTTTACAACCTGGAATGGATCCAATGGATTGTACCGATATAAAATAATAAACTTCCTGGGAGAAGATGCCACCGTGAAATATGTGACACAGAGAGAAAGAACAATGGCAAAGTCTGTAAGTGAGAGAAAGAAGGTCTAGACTTTTTCACTAAACTCACAGCAAACTTAAAAAACATAAGGCATTATAGAGCGGGAGCTTTAGGAGATCGTATAAATATCATTCATATAAATATTTACTTCAATATTAGGGATATATAAAACAACCAAACAATAATCTAAAAATAGAAAAGTTTAATCAAGCTATAAGGTTTGGTTCATACCTGATAAATATCTGATAGGCTGCTGCTCCCTGAGTCGCTGGCGATGCTGCATCCTGATTGGCTGGGAGGCATGTGCATCACCTGCTGGTGGGCGTGGTCTGTTAGGTGCATCTTATTTAGGTCAGCAGGAAGCTGTTCAGACAGACAGGAAGTAGCAGAGAGACAGAAGACGAGTTACAGAGAGGTTGGGGAAGATACAAGCTCAGCAGAAGCAAACATACACAGTGCGCTTCGAGAGACAGACACACACACACAGCTGCTTGTTTTATAACCCTGAAAGCCACAGATGGTTTCACAAGTTATATTCAAGTATGAATAACATGAAGTCGAAGACACTTCAGCTGTAGATCATTATCCAGGGCTGCAGGTCGATATGATTTCTGACAGACAATAGAAGGTCAGAGCCAGTACGACGGTTTTAGATTTACTTCTACAAAATGATGAAACTGTAAATCTGACAGCAGCCGCCATGTTACTGGCCTTTCTTTTTACGCAGGCAGCTTATATCATCAGCTACTGCATAAACACATTACACCTCACAACACAATGCATAACACTTAGAACACAAGAACAGTTAAACTCATTCAGACACACATCCAAAGACAGAATTACAGCAGCGTCAACTACAGGACGCCACAGGAACTGAATCATTTCAGAAGTCTGTTCGTTTTGCACACAGCTAAATGTGAGAATTGAAACCAAAAAAATCCCCTCAGATTACAAATGAAAGTTGTTAGTCAGGTTGTCATTTTTAACTGTGCTAGAAGACAACTGCATCTGTACAACAAAAATAAAATCACCACACGCCTACAGTTTGACCAGACTCCAGTCAAGTGTCAACAGTGAGGCTAGATTAGCGACGTGTGATTCTGACAAAAAAGAAATCAATCAACAGAAATGGGCTAAATTGTGTCAGTAATTTGTTGATACAAATTAATTCATTCTACCTTAAGATAGATTGACATGGAAAAAAGAAGCTAAATACACGACACAGTACACCTTAGTAGGCATATTAGTACACAACCCACAAGATCCCCCCTGAAAAAGATTAAAACACTAAACACAGGTCAATCAAAAGTCAAGTCCACACTCCAAATTAAATGTGCAACATAATACTTCAATTTGTCACTATTTTTTTTTACTATACAGCAATAAAAATTATTGGTCTACTGCACCTATGTAGGAAAGATGTGAATCAAAGGATAACAACGGTTCCCACTTTAAACAGTGCTTTGAGGATTTTTGAAACATGAGATTTCTCATGGAGCAGGATTTTTTCCCGAGCAGCTGAACAAGATAGAATAGAGCCAACCTCTAATTCTCACGTCTTACCAGTTTGGATCGGGGCAGCGTCAAAGTGAGAGAGGATGTTCTCCTACGACACCGAGCAAACCTACAGCACACCTCCATCGCCACATCAGACAGCACCGGCTATCCACACATCCCACGTAAAAAATGCTGCCCCATGCATAACTGAAGAATGGAAACTGGTTGAGGCAGCGAGGAACCACAGAGCCAACATGCAATATTAAAGACGTCAAGTCTGGGGGTGTTGTCCCCTCACTGCTCTCTTCTAATAGGCCTGTTGTATTGTACGACCCCCCGCTGCTCCCCAGACCCCCAGGGAAACACTGTGTTGTGGGGTGGAGTTCAAGAAGTTCAGTGGCTTGTTCTTAATGTGTGGTTTAATCAAGGGGAACACTCAGTTGAATGTATTCATGTACAATGTACAACTGAACTTGTATTACCACCATTCATTATGTTATTCTCATAGTCCGGGACAACCTCACGTCCTAGATTTGAGTCCATTTGTACATGTCCACCTCCTTCTCCGAGCCAGAAATGAGAGAAAGCATATAACATAATATGTGGAGTTAAACACTGTGGCGAAGCAATAGCAGTTCTGGGTGTGATTTTGAATGGAGCCATTGATTATTTAGTTATGTTACAAGCTGCCATAAAGCGTTTATATCTGACATCTACAAACTTCAAACATTAATGCGCCTAATACCTCCTTTCTTCACAGTGTCAACAGTGCAATTAGCAACACTTAATAGGATTGTAATTTCAAAATTTCTCAGACTAACCCTTCCACACAGACACACACACAGACACACACACAGACACACACACACACACACACACACACACACACACACACACACATTAATCTAAGTTGTGACTGAAGAAGTATTTAAGTGAAATCCATTTCCCATTAGGTACGGCGGTGTAATGCATTGTGTTTCTTTTATTGAACCGCAAGCAGCACCTCGTCCTCACTGTTGGTTTTATTGACTAAATTACGCACCATCACATATTTAAACAAGTAGAATTCCATACTGTCATTCCTGTAGCTTCCTGGTGACCAACGCTCTTCACTGCTAATTTGTTGTGTTGGTATGTGAATACAGAGAGAAAAAGCGAGACGGAGAGTGATTGCTAATTTTATCACGGGTAAATACTTATTGATTTTGGCGTGATGGAGCACTTATACAAGCCAGTGATGATGAAGCTCCCACCCTGCATCCATTTAACACATTCACCAGAGTCCACATAGAGACAGGACTAATGTACCAAACTGCTGAGCCAATCTGGGTGCAGGAAAACGTTCATGAAAAATGTTTTATGCTGTATGTTGTTGCAATATACGTGTACGACAGCCACTGATCCTGACGCATAAATAAGGTTATTTAAATTTGGCTTGAATGGTCTCAAGTTACAAAATCCAATGTTTGTGTTGCTGTCCCTTGGCCACAGTTCAACAAATAAACTCTTCTTGAAATCTATTAAACACAAACACACCTTAGATGTCTACATTGCCATGGGCTAAGGTTGAAGCATTTAGCTGTGAGGCTAGATGTCAGTGTCAAGCTGTTGGAGCAGACAAACAAGTGTCACCCGTGGATCTGATTCCTCCCTATATTGGACAACCCTAAAAAACATGGAAGACATTTGTGATTATCGATGTTTAGCTCCTGTACACTTTGTTGGTTTTATTTCCTCATGTGAAAAAAGACACTGGAGATGTGTTCAAGGTTAGAGATGCAGGGTTCCTCCCAAATATAACAAGGTTTTGGCAAGTTCAATGTGTGAATGTGTTTTGGAGGTCACACCAGAAATAAATATGGTGATGATAGATGGAGGGGTTTCATGAGGGAAGGGGGAAGTCGGGTGAGGGAAGTGAATAATTGCGGTGGTCTCCTGGCTCCTATTCACACCACAGACTTAATCCTACTCTAATCCCCCCTCTTTCCCTCTCCCAGTGGGTCGAGCCAAGGGGAGGCGAGGCGGAGGGGGCGTACGGGGTCTCCCATCCTCCTCATGCATTAAGAATGAGAGTTAGCAGATTAAATATGAATGTGCACGGTTCCTTCAGCTGTACAAGTCTATCATGTCAATGAGCAGCCACAATCATGGATGAATCAAGCTGGCAGTAAACGTCACAGTCAAACACACCAAGCTTTCACAACACCGGCCATTTACAGAGTGTGATTAACTCCACGGAAATCAATCTACCGTCTTTCATAATATGCATGTGAGCCCAAAAAAGATGCAGCAGCCAACGAGGATAAGAGTCCACAAGGAACAAGGCCTGGAGGTCAGAAGTGTATCACCTAGTTTGGCAGCTTATGAATAATTGGTTGGTGTCATAGACAAAGGACACAGCTGGACCAGAAATTCAGTGGGACACAAGTTATAGCGATAATTATTTTTGTAATATCACTGTTTATGTTTGTAACACCATTTTAAAATGATGAGTTGTTCATTTATAAGATCAGCCACTGAAACATTGTTGTAGAATTTGTGGCTATAATAAAATTACTATGTCTGAATAATTGTGAGATTTATTTTTCAGACATGACAAAATGTCATAGTTCATAGCGGTTTACAGCACAAAAAGATAATTGTCTCAATCAGGAAGTAAACAATAGCATTCAAATGGCTGCTGTCTCAACTTTATTACAACATTCCTCTTTCTGAAGACCAACTCACATTTCTAAAGGCATAGTCTCTGTATGTTTGCTTGAGAATGGTGGAACGTTATTAAAATGCTACATTCCCTGCAAAAATCCCACAAAAAGACATGTTGACTGTGTGATAAGCCTTTTATTGATAAAAAGACAAACATAATTGGATAACCGTAGCCTGGGAGGGGAAACCTGCCTATACTTCAGTTCTGGAGGAGCTCACTGTTCTCTTTTGAAAAACAGATGACTTGCTTTATGTGGCTTTTGCAGAAATCTACTAAACCATCAGTTTGTTTGGTCAAGTCAATGTCACTGATGCATGTTGTTGTTTGATGCATGTGGCCAGTGGCAGTCTTATACCCACAGTCTACATCTGGGGAGTCAGACTGAAAGCAACACACAGCAGTCAAAACAAATTAAGGCCATATTTTCTCTTTCCATCTTCTAGAAAACATACCTCTGTTTCACTCATTGAATCCAATTGTAACAATGACATTAACTAGCTCTGGGCCTGAGTGCTCTCTTGTAACTATTTCCCCAGTGATAGAAGAAGCTATTAAGCCCAAACTGAGACTGAGTTTACTTAAAAAAAACATTTTAGTGCTGGGATGATCTTTACTGGATTGGAGAATGTGTGCAGAGATTTTAGGAAATGTCCAATAATTCAATGTCCTTGCTTGTAAAGCAGGATATTTTGGAATGAGTTGGTTAGGGGTCCCAGGAGGAACAAGGATGGAGGTGAAAGGAATGTTCCAAGACAGTGTTTAATGACAACATGGCAGGAAATACCAGGGACTTTACTAGACCACTGCCAGTCAGAAAGGGAGAAAAACACAGATCTAGATAAGAACAGAGAGAGAGCTGCTTATAGAAGAGAATAAGAGGATACAGTGACAGCGATGGAGTGTGACGCACAAGCACATACTCACCAAGACACATTATTGCAGAAACAAACAAGCAGAGAGGAAAGAGAGACAACAATACATTAAAATGAATAGTACAGGGGACAAATGGCTAAGCAAAGTAATTAAAGAAAATGTGGTGAGGCTAATGAATTCTGATGAGGCTGGTAATTAAACAAAGCTCAACAAACAATGATAATGAATATCATAAGACAATGTTATTGGATTTGCCAAGAAAAACAATAAGACAGTATAAAAGAGA